TAACCCAGTGACCATTAGCTTCGTTTTGTGTGTGAAAACAATGAGGCATGGAGAAATTCAGTGACTTTGCGTAAGTTCATATAAAGAAGTGTGACATGTTCAGAAAGCTAGTCCCAGTCAAGTATGAGAGGGATTTGTCCCCTTCTCGGTGCCTTGTCATAGATGTGAGCTAAGAATTGTGATTCTGTCTAATTGTGGCAGCACTCACAAAGTGAAAAAAAGTAGCTTCCTCCATGGTGAAGGGTTCTCTTGACTGTGTTGAATCTTTTATTAATCATGTTTTATGGTTCTGTGTGAAAGTCCACTAATTGGAATTGTGTGTCTTATAAAATTCTTATAAATATATACCAATAGATGCCAAACTGTCTCTGAAAAGCTCCTAAGGACGGTGCTCTTATTACTATGCTAATGCTTGTTTTTTCTGGGCCTCAGATTCTGAAGATGATCTATCCCGGCTGTCAAAATACCTGCTTTTTATTGAAAAATAAGTGGTTCGACAATTGAGATTAGACTTAAATTGTATTTTATAAACCGAAAATGCAAAAGTAGCTCACTACTTTTATTTCAGTGGACAACATTATAATACTTATGAGAAGTGGAGTTGATGACATAATAGGAAGAATTTGTATTTATTAAAAGAATAACCTGGAAGGGCCTCTTCAGGCCATTTAATGTGATCAGCCTGAAATAGGAGCTCCTTAATGAAGCATATTATATGGGGAGATAATGTGTTATGTAGGCATAACTTACAGCCCGAAGCCTGGAAGTTTTCAAAGTATTGTTGAATAAGGCACACACTGATGGTTATTAGGTGTGTGTGTTTAAAAAAAAAAAAATGTAGTCAGTGAAATTACAGTGACTTTGAGTTTTTCTGATTTATGAAGTGGAAGATTCTTTAGAAAAAAAAAAATTCTGCTACAAATGATATCAATGGCCAGTTATCTTAACACAGCTTTTTCTTATTAGCGGTAACGTTGTTGTGGTTCATTGCGAAAAGTCTTTGAGTGAACAGAGAGCTGCATAGTACCTTGTGTTTCATACCCAGTTGACCTTCCCTTAAATTTTGACGTCATTGCCACTGTTTGCACTGAAATCTCCTGGGATGCTGACCTCCAACGGTGCTATTGCTCTGGGTCTGCTCAATTTGTTAGAGAGTCTTCCTGTTGACACGAGCACTTGCTAATGATGATCATTTAGTTGTATGGGTTTAAATAGGGTCTCTAATACCATTTGGTAAATTTGTGGGTCTTTAAAACAGTTGTTTTCCTGGATTTTGATTGGATACTTGAGACACCTTGCAAGGAAAAGGGATGATCCCTTCAGAGAACAGGTGTATCTGTCCAGGTGGACCGATTTCTAAATAAGTTTAAATGTCCTTAGTGTCATTTATGATGGACTGATGCTTACTGTATTTAGGATCTTGATATTGGGAGGCCAATTTTTAGTCAGAAATCGCCTATGAATACTTGATTAGACAACCAATAACATGCCATGTATTTATAGGGGGAGACTCTATAATAGGAAAGATTTCCCCAATTGGCAACGAAGAATTGTTAAGTCATCAGATTTTCTGCACTGCCAGTGAAACACTTAAGAAAATACAAAGAAATAATTAAAGGCAGGAAGTCCCTTCAGGAGGCAAATATTCGGGAAGCCAACCAGATAAAGCTAAAAATATTTCAGGTAGGAAGGAGGATCCAGCTTTCCTTTTGACATTATATTGGTGTTTTAAATATTAGTTTCCCCCTGAGTTAAAATACCATTAGATTTCTATGTATATAAAAAATGAAAGGTCATTGTTAAATTCAACTAATAAAGAAAAAGTAATAAAAAGTATGTATATAATATATACATAAGGTATATGAATATTACATAAACATTATTCATGCTATTTGTATCTTAGAGTCCATTTAATTCTCAAGCTTAGCTCCTACATAACTTTTATTATGTAATTAGTATTATTAGCGTGGTGTTCATTATTCAGCAGCTTTCTCCATGTTCATACAGAGAATATTTCTGCATGTATACACACATATATGCTGTAGATGTATTTATATTGTACACAAAATGTGTATCATTTACAGTCTTGCACTTTACTTACCTTAATAATATGTCATAGAATCCCTTCTCTTTATTTTCTGTTGGTTTATTTTGTTCTCTGTTTAATCTCTTCAGACAACTCGAGTTTTGTTTTCATTACTTCTTTAATAATTTAGGGATTTCTGGCCTAAATTTTTCAAAGTTTACCTGTGAATCCTGGATTTGTTATGAAGTGTTCTTGTCCTCATTACATTCTAGATAGGGTGTGATTTCTATTTCCTCTTTGACCCATGAATTATTTACAAGAGTTTCTGTGTTTTCCAAGTTGTTAAGTTATAAAAATCTTTTTAGTATTTATTTGCAAGTGCTATTGGTTATAATTAGAAAATATGATGAGTAAAAATAGCTTTAGTTTCAAAAAATCTGATAAAATTTTCTTTATGGCCACATACAAGATCTTTATGAGAGGTCTGATTGATTTAAAAATCTATGTATCTATCTATATATGTTTACACACACATATACCTCTATATTTTGTCATTTATTTTTAAGTATATACCCAGAGATTCTAATTTAATATGTCTGAGGATTGTCTGTGCATTGGAGTTTTTAAAGCTTTCCAGGTGATTCTAATATACAACCAAGGCTAAGAATCACTGCCCTAATAAAATAATGATTCTAGCCCAGTGGTTCTCAGAATATGGACCAGTTGCACCAAGGTCACCTGGGAACTTCTTAGGAATACAAATTCTTGTGCCTTACTCTAGATCTACTGAATTGGGAACTTGGTGACCCAGCAATATGTATTTTAAAAAGCCTGCAAGATAATTCTCATGCTCACTAAAGATTGAGAACCACTGATCTATACCAGTGGCTCCACAGTGGGGTTGGTTTTGTCCCCAAGAAGACATTTGGTAACATCTGGGAACAGTTTTGGTTATCAGAACTGGGGGGGGGTGGTGGTGGAGGAGACAGCTACTGCTTGGTTGGTCGGGGCCAGGGATTGGGGCACTGGGCAGTCACCCACAGAATAATTATCTGCCCCCCAAATATCAGTAGTGCTGCTGTATAGAAATTGATCTGAACCATGATTTCCAAACATGACTTTCTCATGACCACCAGTTGGAGAGCTTTTAAAAATCCTGACTCCAGATGCAGTTTAATTGGTCATTGGTTAGGGCATGTCATCACGTTTTAAAAAGCTATCCACGTAATTACATCTGCAGCATGATTGAAAACGACCACTATGGCATTGCTCATCGGTACATGTAAAACTCTTATAATGGATGGATCAAACTGATTCTGAAACTGCCATTCAATTTTAATATAAAAAGAGAGAAGTAATCATTATTACCTTCAGATGTGTTGTAGCAGGGAGTATAAAACACTAGATCTAGAAATCTAACTACCGTGTTAGAGGTACATGTTAAAAACCACTGTGAGGATGTCATTGGTAAAATCCAGAATGTAGAAACTCTAAGACAGATGATAGAGATTTTTATCAAGAAATAATGCCAACAAGGAAAAAAGAAGGGAGAACTGTTCTTAAAAGAAATTTAAGATACTTAGCCAATTTGTGCATCTTGTTTGGATCTTGGTTTGAAAGAGCAACAGAAAAACAAAACATTTCTGAGAAGATGGAAACTTTGAACATAAAATATGATATTTCATAAAAGTGAATTTTATGCATGTGTATGTATTTTTTTTTTTTTTTTGGAGTTGATGTGGAGGGGTAACTAGAGGTTATAGGTAAAACAAGATTGGCCCTGTATTGATCGTTGTTGACACTGTGTGCTGGGTATATGGAGATTTATTATAATAATCTCTATACTTTTGTGTATTTGAAAAATTCCATAATAAGAACAATGAGAAGGAATATCTAAGTATATGCGAGGAAAAGCAGATGAGAGAGAGTGGTGTTAGAAAAACTGTCAAGACAGTAGGTGTTTACACAGTGTAAAAAATAAAAACAAAACCAACAACAGTCCATTGGATTTGGGACATGAATGTCATTTGATGGCCTTAGCAAATCTGTTTCATTGGAGAAGTGGGTCTGAAAGCAAGATTGGAATGCACAGAGAAGTGAGAGGGTGATCATGAGGCAGATTAAGGGGATGAGCAGGAGAGGAGAATATGGTCAAGTGTGTTATGTTTGAGATAGAATAGGGTTATGTGTGTTTGAATGATGAAAGAGATCCAGTAGAGACAGAGACCATGAGTCTCAGGGAGGAAACAGGTAGTATGTGTAAGCATTGGTTTCCTTAAAACCATCTCAACGGGTTGGCACAGAGCTTAATTTGGGTAATGTATATAAATTACTTAGCGTTACTTCTACCGTATTAAATTATCGTAATGAGAGCTTTGGAATTTGCGTATGTGTGATGCTCATTCTAAGTTACTTCTCTTCTTGTGTGTGTGACTTTTTTGTTGATGTTTATATTTTTGGTGATCCTTATACTTTTCTTTTATCCTTTTGCAGATTGTTATAATAAAGCACTAAACTTAGTTATGTTCTTGTGTTTCTTTACAATGTGTTATATATCTAGCACAGAATTTAGAACCACAAATAATTATATGTGTGTATTGAAATAATAAGATATTAAACTATATGTAAACTCATAGCTGAGTACTTTTATGGACATAAGTTAAATAAGTAAAGTGAATTAATTTACTGGGAGGGACGGAGGGAGGGAGAGTTGGACAGGGGAGAGGCAAAGGGAATGAATGGGAGTGGAGGGAGAAAATGATGAGAGAATATGATTGTTTATTCAGGGCAAATTTACATTGATCACTGTTGCTGTTATTTCTGTTATTTTTATTTCCAGCTATACTAGCTCATGCCAAAAAGTATAACTTGAAAGGCTTTCCATTTGCTTTTCTCTTGTAATTGACTTGAGAAAACAGAGTCGAAGAATGACACATGTTAAAATTGGGCTTTTTTTTTTTCTTTTTTTAACCAGAACTGTTCACTATGAAGGTGGCGCTGTATCTGTTCATGCACGTTCCCTATGGAGACTAGAGACACTAAGAGTTGCGTAAGTAGAATTTGTAAATACAGCTGAGTGCTTCACGTGTAGTAAATACTTCCAGTGCTGTGGACTTGAGCTTTTATGTGAAAGCTCACACTAAGAACTACAGCAAACAAGCAAATGAAACACTGAGAAAGCGGTGGAGTGTTTCTTCTTGCCCTTCTGCCTACCTTTATTTCGCTTTCTTTAGCCTAAATTCACTGCACGGTATCCAGTAATTCTATATGATCTGCTCCTGTCTTTAGCCTGATTTGTTTTGGTAACATCCTCTCATCCCCGTCTGTGCATCTCCTATCAGAAGGTGCTCCTAGGACAGAGTGACGGAAGGTTTGGAAAGAGGACAAATGGTTTGCAAGCCTGTTACACATTTCAGGCCTGACATTGTCTGGGTTTAACAGTCTAAAGGCCCATGTAAAACAGGAAACTTGAACATGAACGAGAGTGCAAGGGTCGTTATTGACAGCCATTATCCTTATTTACAAACACCTTGTTGATAACTGAGTAAGAAATCTGGATTGCAATACAAAGTCACTGTGTATATACAAACAAATATATATATTTCATATTCTTTTTTTTTTCCTTTTTGGTGGCTTCAAAAAGTTGTTCAGAGGTTGACTTTTAGTTCCTATAGATAATGCAATGATGATAAAGTTGTCCTTTTGAGTTATTTTAAGTAGAATTAAAATATTAGATTTTTTTTTGTTGGTTGGAAAGCTCGTGCCTTTGCCTACAAAGCAATAAGTTTTCAGTGTATTTGTTCCCAATTACATTACACTTTTAGGAAATTATTGATTTAAGGTTATAGTTTCCATGAATGGCTGTAGGGAACTATCTTGTATAGAATAGTTAGCTTTGTAAGGCCTACTCTTTTGAGATTAATGCTTATCTAAGGATGATTAAAATAGTTTAGGGGTCTTCAGTTGTTTTGACTTAGGTATACCATACATTAGTTTTGAAAAAATTTGAAAGGTGCATCCTTGAACATTGTAAGGTGTGAGATATACATTTTTCATTATAGTTTTTTTTTTCATTATCAGTTTAAATAGATGCATAGAATATAACTTATGGTGTATTAGAGGTAGTGATATTTTAAAATGAAATGAGCATACCACTCTTTTAAAAGTATCTCATTGACTCTAAATACTGCTATGATTTAATACCCATCTTTGTTTATTTAAAAATACTTGAACATAGTTTTCCTTAACAGTAGAAATTATTTTTTAATTTTATTTTATTATGTTGGTTTATATACTCTCTTTCTCATTGTCATGATATTTGTTACTCTGCCATGACAGAGTTCTTTATCCCAAATGATTTTTTTTTTATGATTGAAAGACTTTTTTTGCTCACTCTAGCATATACCTATGCAACAAAAATATGTATGTAAAATATTTTTATATTTCTAGTGATAGTAAGTCTAACTTTAAAAAGTTCTTCTATATTAAGTCCATTAATTATTAATTAGCTGATAATAAATTCTTCCATATAAATACATAGTTGATGAAATCACCTAAATATTAAAACTTTTGGTAAACATTGAAATTTAAAAGTAAAATTTTACTAGAAATGCATCATTGAAGTTGGAAAAAGAAGTGGCGGCCTCATAAAGCAAAGGAAGGAGATCTCAAAGCTTTCATGTGCTTCATAAATGATTCAGAGAATTGAGGGAAAGAAAGGGATTTTAAAGACCTACATGTATTTCCTTTACCTTGTGTTTTATAAAAATGACAGCTTAATTAGAGAAGTGAAGTAGTCAATAAAAGTGAAGTTTAGACAGCTGTTGCTGCCATTAGAAAACAGACTCCAGATGTGTTTTCAAATTTATAGATATCCCTTCCCTTCATGATTGTGTCTTAGAGAAATGGGTTTGTTTGTTTGTTTGTTTTGAGCAAAGGAGGGCCTAAACCTGTCTCATTTTGTAGATTAAAAAACCGGAAGGATGCAAACTCCTGAAAACCAGGCAGGGCTTCCTTTTTATTGTCAACGTTGTTTTTGATGAACTGTAATAACATAAATCCAGATTGTCCTGCGCATCCTTCCATTATGTGGTCTTGATTCTTCTTCTCTACTGTTGCCTAATGTTTGAAGTTTGACATGGGAAGTGTGGGGTCTGTTTTAACTTGAATGGGGGTGACAGAGAATATAGAAAGAGCCTGATCTCCAGGTCAGCCAGAGGTGAAAGTGGGCATGTCTGCTGATTGCCTCAGAATCCAAATGACAACAAGAAAAAAGGAACTGACAACAACAGCAGAGCAGGTAGTTTTTCAACCATTTAAAAAATGAAAGAGAGATGTTTCTGTTAGGCTCTGTGACCTTGATTTACACCATTTCGTCTTCCTGTCTATGGCAGAAAAGCAGGAGGTTCACTTGTAATGAATGTAATTATGTTAAGTGTTTTTTCAGGTTCAAGTTCTATTGAATTTTTGAACTACTTTGATTTCATTGTAAATGTACACATTAGATTGCATTGAGTTAATATGCCTTCTTTTATGCATTGGTCATGTAAATACTCATTTTTTCTTTGTACTTAGAAAATGATAGTCAAAGGTTCTGCTTATGTTTATAACAGAATTTTATACCCGAAGGTCAATATTTATACTATAATATTTGGGATATTCTTTTTTATTTCCTTCAACAAGGTCTCAAACTATATATTTGATATAATTTATGCAGCCTAGTAATTATATATTTTATATTGCATACTCCTGCAAATAAAATTAATGTTGTCAAAAATTTTTCAGTATCATGAACATTTTAGTAAGGTAAGTTTTAACCTTGGGAGTTAAACATAATAGAAAACACATTCCTGTATTATACCCCATTGTAAAGCAGTAAGAACATTTTAAGTACAATATATGTTGGTTTCTGTAGTAGGAATGCTCGTTGCAATTAAAAATATGCATTATGTATACTTCAGATTCCACTTTGTTATATGTTACAAAGAACCCACAAAATCAAAGGTGGATGTATCATGAAGAATGACCAAATATTTCCTGTTCCTTTGAGGTCATTTCAAGTGAATATAGGTAATACATAAGGAACAGTTTTCTGCTATGTCACCATAGGAAATTGCTTTGTATTACTATGTTACTATTACTGTTTTCAGTTTTTACTAAATATTTGCTGCCCTCTGATTCTCCTGGGCTTGTCCTCTTTTCTTCTGGGCCATGGGCATTAGAGGCCAGCTAATTTGAATGGCTGTATGCTAAAGAAAATGTGCTTAGACCTTACAGTGTTTTGCTGATAATTGGCCAAATTCATTTCCATTTCTAACATAATCCTGCTGGTGACTTGAAAGGAGTACTTGTAAATATGAGCCCTATTAAGTAGATTTGTACACAGTATCCAGAATACCCTCTAGAAAATCTAGTACAAAGTATCACGTGGTCCAAATTTGGAACTATTTTGAAAACGAAGTTGTTTTTTATGATGATTAAGATGAGTCATTACTTAGAAAAAAACATTTAGATGGTTCTTCAAATAATGAAAGTGAATATGTGTTTCTCATAGCATCTGCAAAGAATACACTCAATTAATAAGGGGAATAAACAAAGCTTGTTTATTTACTAGACTAGAAATGATTTAATATTATCTTCTTGGTAAACAAACTTTAATTTCATTTTTAACAATACTGTATTATTAGTAGGGTTTATTGGTACATGGTTATTACTTTACTGGGGAGACTTGTCCAAATTAATTGCCTTTATAAACAAATCCATGTAATAATGATCTTATCACAGTATTATTCTGTTAGTTTTCCCTGCTAATATTCAAAGTGAAAAATCCAAGTTAGGAAATCAGCATAAAATGACTTACAATTAACTAAGATTGGTAAATTTGAAAAAAGTATTCTCAATTTGTAGAATACAAAAGACCCTATATTTTTTGATGACCTTTTTGATCACCTTATGTTAAAACAAGCTTATTAGGGGTGCCTGGGTGGCTCAGTTGTTAAGCATCTGCCTTCGGCTCAGGTCATGATCCCAGGGTCCTGGGAACGAATCCCGCATCGGGCTCCCTGCTCAGCGGGAAGCCTGCTTCTCCTTCTCCCACTCCCTCTGCTTGTGTTCCCTCTCTTGCTGTGTCTCTCTCTGTCAAATAAATAAATAAAATCTTAAAAAAATAAACCAACAAGATTATTAATTAAATCACGATAAAATTCTCCATATTTTCATTTTTTGTCTGTTTGAGTCATTAGTGATAAAACCTTCCACTGTAATTGTTTTTATAAGTAATTATCTTTTTCTTTTGTCTCATTTTCTCTTTTCCATTGCCCTGTGAAGCTTCATGACATATGTTCTTTTTAGAGTATGTTTTTTTCTCTTTATAAAATACCTGACTATATCCCCTTTATGCTTTTTGCCTTAAATTCTGATTTGTTTAATATCAACTTTACCATCACTATTTCCTTTAGAATTTATATGCATGGTATATCTTTGTCATTCATTTATTTTTATTTCTTGAAAAAATTATTTGATTTTCAGCATATTTCTTATCAGTGATAAGAGGCCATCCTTGTTTTGCACATAACCATTTTAAAGGTGTGCATATCAGAGCCTTGTTTTCCTTCCATACCGTAGTGAGCACAAGGTTCAGATACATGCGACCTTCAGTTAACAGCACTGCGCAAAACAAGGATGGTCTGTCTCTTGATTTTTCTTCTCTACCGTATCTGAAAGTCATTTTAAAAAGCAGATTTTAATGATCATAACTTTGCTTTTTATCTTTTTTCTGCAACTTTAGTTTGTATGTTGTTTATTGCATTTTATTTTTTTCCTTTTTTCCCCCTCTTGACCTTTTTAGAATTCTCATTTTCTTGGTTTGTTTTTTTTGTTGATCAGTTTTTAATGATATAGTTACACATTATTAAAATTCAATGCATAGGAATAGGTTTCAAGTAAATATATACTTTAATTTATATATATGAGTTCTAGTTAATCATAATTAGGCATTGACCGAATTACCACTATTTTCCAAGGCTGCAGATCCAACAAAAGTTTTTAACTAGTAAATTCTGAAGTATTCTTTAAACTTATAATTCCATATCTGTGACTAGTGATTAGATGTTAACTTGGACCACAGTCCTTAGTCATTTTTGCATGGGGTAGTAAATAGTGGGGATGGCATTATATTTAAAGTCAAAGTCTTTGAGTTAAATTTTGCTTCTATTTACTATTAGCTGTGTAACATTGACTATTACTTAATCTTATTCTGGATCACCATTTTGTTGTTTGTGGAGTGAAATTCATACCACCAACATTACAAGGTTTTTGAGAACATTAAATAAGACAATATATGCTAAGCAAAGTTCATTGTCCCAACACATACATTTTAATTGCTTTTTTCTCCTGTGATTGTGGATGCTATTGGATCAAGTCTTGACTGTGTTTGTTAGGTGGAGTGGAAGCCACATAAGATGGGGCCAACCTTTCCGACTCCGCCATGTCACAACAGGAAAATACTTGAGTCTCATGGAAGACAAAAGCCTTCTACTCATGGACAAAGAAAAAGCTGATGTAAAATCAACCGCATTTACCTTCCGATCTTCCAAGGTAAGACAGAAAATGTAATTTTGGATTACCTGTAATTATGTCCCCACCACATTTCTTTTGATGTTAGAAATGCAAAGAGAAAGGATGTATCATTTCTCTTTGCGTTTTTTTACATGTATTTCTAAATTTCCAGTTTCTCTTCCATCCATTCCTTTCCAGTAAAACTCATTTCCTAAACCACTAAAACCTGCCCAGGTGTCTCAACTGGTTTATAGCTCTTTGGTTGTTTACATATAACGCATTCATCTAGCTTGTTTCTGTTTTACTTAGGCTTTGACAAGGGCACTTAGCACAAACCTCATGCTGTTGTCCTGTAACAGTATGTTGGTAAAGCATGTCAGAACCTCAAAGGCACATTTACACATCTGCTCTTACATGCACACCTTTTCTCTTAGGTCTTTTGAATCATTGGTAGGGGGAAAAATCCTCTAAGAAAACTCTTTAGATCTCTGATAAAAATTCCGCTGAACCAGATGATGAGTAGAACAGGAAAAAACACATGTGCATCAAAGTCAAGTTGGAATGCTGGGGCTGAAGCACAGCTGGTCCCCTCAGTACCTCATGCATGGTCGCCACCATAATAGCCGCACAATGCAATGGATTCCCGCTCAGGCTTCAGCAAAATAACAAATGTCCTGAACAGTGAGGTATCTCTGGAATAGTTGAAAATCACATGTTGAGTTGACAGATGCCAGGCATCTATTGTATTCATTTTTATCGTAATTATATACTTGTGTCCTTAATCTAATGAGGAATGTGAAATTTGAGCATAATGGTAGGAATGAGGCTGGATTACTGATTAGCTTTTGTTGCAGAGATGGAAAACCCAATGTCCCTGTTATAGCTAAAGGGAAGTTTGGGTGAGTCCAGAAGTAAATGTGAGAAGACAGTAGTAGCCTGAGTACACATCCCTAGTGCCGTTCTGTTAGTTCTCTTGCTTTGCAGTGTACAGAGCGGTGGAAGATGCTCCAGACTCTGGAGTTGCCCAGAGATCTCCGGGAGACACAGCAGTGTAGATCCCTATTCTGTATGGTGAGAACAGAGAGGTGAAGCTGGTAAACCCCAATGTACAATCTCAGACAGGATTCACATATGTATATTTGTTGTGTGGACCCATAGACGGCTCTGAATGCTGTATTTCATGGACCTCTGGTGGGCAGTTGCTCTTTATCTCTGTAGATGGAAAGCACAGTTGGTCTTGCTGTGAATGAGCTTAGTGTTGATGGGCTTCTTCCTCAAGCCTAACTAAGCAGAAGGGTGGGAGTTTGCTAGTTTATCCATTGATAACACCTCAGTCCAAAAAGGGAAAAAAATTCAGCTCCGCAAAGAGGAATTAGTTATCTGATGGTAGAAGGCCTTTTTAAGTAGAAAAGATGGTACCTATTAAAACAACACACAGTTTTAAGGCAGAAAATTAGAAAAACTAAAGGAAATGCATGGCATCCTAGCAAAATATAATTTAGCAAAACAAAATCCCAGAGAAGTACAAGAACCTGAACAGGCATATCACAATGAAAGATGATGGGAAAGTTTTTCAAGCCATAGCATTTATAGGTGAAAAATCTAGCAAAAACTGGAGGCAAGAGGGAAAAAGTCCAAGGGGCAGTAAGTGCTCTGATTGCCTCCCATGAAACAGAAGGCAAGTAACATTTTTTAAAACTGAAAAATCAGGTGATAGAAGTATAAGATATTTAACAGTAAAAAGGCAAGCACTAAAGTTTAATGGAATTTACTAAAATAAGGGGGTGGAAGAGAGGGGATTTGATGGAAAAAGGAGGAAAATACTACTATTGCCATCGTCCATAATCCAGTCCAGTAGAAAGAGGACAAGGCAAAAAGAATCGTAGACACACACAGCCACAGAAACCCACAGTCAACAGAGACAGGAGGCCACATAGCAAAAGACTAGAAAACGGATAAATGTAACAACAGAAAACCTAAAATGTGACAGAGTGGAGACCCAATGCATTTGCCTTATCAACACATAAAAATGGGCTAAAATCACAATTTAAAATAATTTCATATTGGATCATGAAGTATAAATTATGCTGACATTAAGAGACACCGCCAAAACAATTTTTATTTGGAAAGTTTGTAAATTAAAATATGGCTAATGCAATACCAGGAAAATACAAATAAGAACAAAGAAGGGTGTCTGATTTAATATCAGATGAGGAGAAATTCAGGCAAAAGAAATTATTGAGTGAGACAAAGGATACTTCATAGTATCAAGGAGTGCAACTCACTGAGGATGTAATAGTTATCAAATCTATGTACCAAATAAAATGACATTGAATTAATATTCATTAAACAAAACCGATAGGAGATACAAGAGGAAGTAAACAGAAAAATTAGTGGTAGGAGACATGAAGTCAGTTTCTCAGTTTGTGATAGAGAGACAAATAACATACAGAAGATGTAAATAACATGTAATAAGGAATTGCAGAACTCGATCCCAGGACCCTGGGATTATGACCTGAGCCAAAGGCAGCCACTTAACCAACTGAGCCACCCAGGCACCCCTAGAACCATTTTGATATTCATTAGGAAATTAGTTTTTTTTTTTTTAAAGATTTTATTTATTTGACAGAGAGAGACACAGCGAGAGAGGGAACACAAGCAGAGGGAGTGGGAGAGGGAGAAGCAGGCTTCCCGCCGAGCAGGGAGCCCGATGCGGGGCTCGATCCCAGGACCCTGGGATCATGACCTGAGCCGAAGGCAGACGCTTAATGACTGAGCCACCCAGGCACCCTGGAAATTAGATTTTCTAAGCATTCATAAGTGGAATATTTGAATGTTAGGATTGGGAGTAGTTTTTAAGTATATTTTCTGTGGGAAATCTGATGGGCTATGTGATTTTCTTCCAAAAATGTATTCATTTAGTAAATCTTTATTGAGAATCTAGTATTTGCAGGCACTGTTCTGCTCCTGGGGATATGGGCTATTGAGGTGAAGAACCAGACTATGATTCCTGCCCTTGAAAAACTAAGTAATAGTCAGGTAGGAAAGAAGGCAGTCGAGAAGCAATTTCAGTGAAGTGTCAGCATTTCTTTCATAGTTGAAGTGTAGCATGCTGTGGTTGTCCATGAAGCAAAAGAGAAAATGTCTATCCAAAAAATCATCTAATAGTAAAAATAGAAGTCTTTTCAGTAACTCTAGACTGTGACAAAAAGAGTTGTTTCTTTTTGAACATTTTTATGGTTCTCAAATCTCAAGATTATTCTTCTAGGATGGACAATTAGATTATTTAAAAATTTATGGATGTTAGTGAATACCAAGATGATAGTGAGGATCTAAACCTTTCCTAAGTTAAATGCAGGAGGTATGGGAATTAAATCTTACGTAGTCTTTTGAGGAAAGTTTCCACTTAATGGCAAAGTGCCTATTATGTCAGAGTGCTATTAAAAGCAATCTGATCTTGGGGGGGTGCCTGGTTGGTACAGTTGGTTAAGTGCCCGACTCTTGGTTTTGGCTCAGGTCATGATCTCAGGGTCTTGGGATCAGGCCCCACATCGGGCTCCACATTCAGGGTGGAGTCTACTTGGGACTCTCTCTCCCTCTGCACCCTCCCCCTGCCATGCACATGCGTGCATTCTCTCTCAAATAAATAAATCTTAAAAAAAAAAAAGTAGTCTTATATTGAGATTGGAAAATTTCTGTTGATCTACTTTCAACTTCATTGACTCCTTAGCCTGTAATTCCAAGCTGATGTTAAGCTGATCCAATTAATTTTGTATTTCAATTATTGTTTCCATTTTGTGAATACATTTCATTTTATATAGTTTCTATTTCTCAACTGAGATTCCCATCAGTTTATTCATTATGCATATGTTTTCCTTTATGTCCTTAAATGTATTTTATATTTATAATAGTTGCTAATTTTAAGGGCTATCTCTGCATCATTTCTATTACCTGTTACTAGTTTTTCTTTGGTATGGGTCACATTTGGTTCTGTTTTCTTAATTTAGTATAGATCACCTTTTGTTGTTTTTTTATATCTACTTATTTTGACAGTATACCCTGGATATTAGAAATGGTAGGTTATAGAGACTCTTAATTTTGTTAAGGGTTTTTGTTTTTTTGTTTTTGTTTTGTTTCATTTTTTTCTCAAGAATGATTTTAGTTTCAGCAAGCAGTTAACCCTGTTGGACTGAATCTCTAGTTTTGTTCTCTCTTTTGCAGAGGGCAGTGGCTTGTATTTCTGCTCACTCATTTCAGCTTTCATCTGCTGTCATTCTGTGGGGCATAGTTTAGCGGTCAGCAAGGATTTGGGTGAATTTTATAAGCAGACTTTGCAGATACTTTTTTGGTCCAGGATTTAGCTCATCTAATTTTCCGGTTGCTTGTGAGTCCTAAAGTATTCTCTGATATCTCAAGCCAGTAAAGCAGCAGATTTCTTCTGCCTGATCTGCAGGCAGATTGGGCAGGGTACACGCCCCACGGCAAAAGGCAGCTTTTAAAAAAATCACCTGGGTACTCTTTTCCTCCAGAGAGAAAAATATTCTCCACTTTCTCCCTGCTTTTGGTCCCTCTCAAGGATCTTCAGACAGATTCTGGAAAGTATTTTTTTTTTCTAAATTTCATAATTATTATCTATAGGAGGATTAGTCCAACTTAACTGCTCTGTCATTTCCTAAAGCAGAGTAAATAAAACAAAAACAGAAACAAAAGAATAGAAAAAAGAATAAAAAAGTGATGCCAAAACCAAAAGCTGCTAATTTTGATATAGTGTAGCTAATACAGAGTATTAGTAAAATTATTACTTGCCTAATCTGGACACTGTATTTCTAGTAATATAGGCTAATTTTATGTTAGAGGCTTTTAGGAGTTGTCACATTCTTTTTTTTTTTTTATAGATTTTTTTTTTTTTTTTTTATTTGAGACAGAGAGAATGAGAGAGAGAGAGCACATGAGAGGGGGG